CAAATTTGAGGCCAGGCTGGTCTACAAAGCAAGTTCAAGGCTATACCGCAAGACCCTATTGCCAAAAACCAAAACAAATAAAAAACCAGGTATCTTGATTTAAAACCACCTAGAGGGTTGTAGCTCAGCAGTATAGCACATGCTTAGCGTGTTCAATGCAGGAGGCCTTGGTTTGAGTCCAGAATCCAGAATTCCTGGCAGGAGGCTAGAAGAGGTGGTCAAGGAACATAACTGGCTCTATCTTTTTCTCAATTACCTATCAAAACTACCATCACAAATATAATTAAAAGATTTAAGAGTTGGGGCTAGAGAGATGGCTCAGTGGTTAAGAACACTGACTGTTCTTGTAGAAGACCTGGGTTCAAATCCCAGCACCCACATGGCAGCTAACAACTGTCTTTAACTCCAGTTCCAGGGGATCCGACAGCCTCTTCTGTCCTCCATGGGCATTGCATGACACGGGTGTACTTACTTACATGCAGGCATAACACTCATACACATGAAATAAAAAATACTAAATAAAATATTTAAAAAATATCTATTTTTTAAAAAAGATTTAAGAGTCACTAATAGCTTTAGAGAAAAGAACCAGGTTGATTTATAAAGCAGGTCGAATGTGTTCCTGGGAGGCCATTTCTCCCACAATGGCAGTAAATGAAGGTCTGGGCCTCTTTGTGGCTGCAACCTGTCTCAGGGCTCGGTGGGATGAAACTACAGATGCCTCCCGCTTTCCTCCTCTACCCTCCCTGCATTAATCTACCTACCTGCTTCCACAGAGCTGTTCAAATTGCCTGCCAGCTTTTGATGGTACTCAGGGTTAGGCGAGTTATCACTGGACTAAGGCAACAGAAAACAGAGGACCTAAAAGAACAAGGAGCGCTGGGACATTTTTCACAATGCTGCAAAGAAGTGCCCAGGCCTACCAGAAATCGAGTTTATGCCAACAACCCACAAAGCATAAGCAGCTGGCAAAAGTGATTCAGCTCCATAAATTTACACATCCACACAGCTAAACCCACGTGACGCAAGGCAGATCTTGTATTGAAATAGAAAATATGCCTATCCTGGAGTGCTAAGAGTGGTAGGTACAGCATAATTCATTTTCTCTTCTTTGTGGTGCTGGGGATAGAGCCCAGGATCTCAGGCCTGCAAAACTCTGGACCATTGAGCTACATCAGCAACTCCTACTTATCACACACATTTACACAGAAAATGGCAATCAGCTAAACAAGTTGGTTGTTGAATTATGGGTGACTTTATTCTTTTTTACGGTACTGGGGATTGAACCTAGCACCTTATGCATGCTAGGCACTCTACCATTGACATACATCCCCAGCCCCTTTGTACTATTTATTTACTCAAGGCAAGGTATCACTAAGTCATCTAGGCTGGTCTTGAGTAGACAGGATGTCAGACGTATGCTGCAACGGCTGGTTGATTCTGTTTTCTTATTAGCAGGTTATTTTTCTACAATGAATGTGGATTCCCTGTGTAAGAAAATGATGGCCTGAATCATCCCCTTTCCTTAATAAACACCAGTAATACTTAACATCAGCTTAATAGGAAACTTGGTAAAATAGATTTCCTCCCTTTGAACATATCAAAATAAAACATCTGAACTCTGTTCTTTTTTAAAAAAAATTTTGTGTATGAGTGTGTTGCCTGCATGTGTGTGTAGGTGCACCTGTGTCGTGCAGTGCCCACAGAGGTTAGAAGAGGGCATCAAATCCTCTGGAACTGGTGTTACAGATGGTAATTAACCGCCATGTGGGTGCTGGGTATCGAACCTAGGTCCTCTGCAACTGCAGTCAGTGACTGCTGAGCCACCTCTCCGGACCTTGAACTCTGTTCTATTTATTTTCACCTTTTTGAGACAGGGTCTCCCTGTAGCCCCAGCTGGCCTGAACTCACTATGTAGACCAGGCTGGCCTTGAACTCAGAGATCTGTCTGCCTCTGCCTCCCAAGTGCTGGGACTAAAGGCATGCACCACCACACCCGGCAAACTCTGTTCTTTTTGAGAAAACAATTACTTCCAAAGGTGTTCATAAAAGCCAGGCCTCAACCTACAGGGCAGGTTAAGGTTACCTTATGTAAGGTATGTAAAAAAAAAAAAAACTATGTTAAAAAAAAAAGAAACCCTGTCTTTGAGTCAAGGAACGATTAATTTACTAGGAACAGTGGCCTTCTAACAAGTGCAGATGAGGAAGGGTCTGAGGAACCGGTTTCATTTTCTGTAAATAAAACCTTGGCAGGCAAATCGCCAAAGAAACACAAGTCAATATAAACCTTTAGATACTGGGCTGCCAAACTTCACTTTTAGACAGTATATTAATCATGTAGTCAATAGCCATAGGTTTCATTAATGTATTAAATACCACAATCAATATTATTTATACTTTTTGAAGACGGGCCACTCAGGCAAAAAAGGTGGGGGAGGGGGACACTTTTGACCCTGCAGTTAAAAAAAGTCAGAACAGCACATGGGAGATTAGCAAGGCTTTAATAGAAGGCATAAAATACTCAAAATATGAACAGAAATCAGATTATTACCTTTTTCCCCCACCTCTATTTATAATGAGACTGGAGGGAATTCAAGAATCATTTAAAATAAAGGCAAAATGATTAGATTTTTTTCCTAATTGCTTAACACTGGTGTCATGGTGTACGTAAAATAAACATTGATCTTCCAGTGACAGATTAGAAACAACATGAACAGCCTTTTGAGGGAAACTAGATCCAAGAGAATTTTAAGAACTGTGGGCCAGAATCTACTTAGGCAATCCTGTGGGACCTAAATCTCTTAAAACTGTTAACAATGGAGCCAATTTCTGAGGCTGCTCTGTTGTTGATCTGATTTTTTAGCAGGGAAATCTGTTAAACGTTGTTCCTCAAGGGAGCCCCTCCTTTCCGCTCCCCCTGGATTCCTAAACAGAGCTGTGGAGATTTGCTAGTTTTGTCCAAGTGGCCAGTGAAAAAAGTGCAGGGAATGACTAGTCACTGATCTCAGGAAGAATACCTCCTCACTGGTTAGACAGACCGGAGCTGGGGAAGAAAAAGGGGATGCTGGGAGTAGGAGGTACAAAAGACTGGTTACAGGACTGAGAACTCGATCACCACCTCCAACCCACAATTTGTCAATCCAGAACAGCACTGAAGACTGTAATTTTCTAGTCAATGCTTTATAAGCAGGGTCAGTCAGAGAAAAAGCTTCCATAAAAATTGCTGAGGCTTTGGCCAGAGAATCAAGTGCAACCCAATTCCTACCTCCTGAGACTAAGGAAGGGTTAGGAAGACTGTGTTGTCACAATCGGTGAGCCTGATTGAAAATCTCTTTATGTCTGTTCTCAGCAATGGGAGCATTAGCCTAGGGCTGGCTAGTTCCTTGCAAAAGACAACAGCTAAGAGCTTGGGATGGTGGTACAGGCCTGTAATCTCGACAGTTGGGATACAGAGGCAGGAGGCTCATGGTTTTGAGAACAGTTCCGGGTTATGCAACAAGTCTGAAGCTATTCACTGTTAACTATCAGGGCCCATCACAATAAAACAAACAAGCCAGGTGTGGTGGCACATGCCTGCATTCCCAGCCCTTGGGGAAGAAAAGGGGATGCTGGGAGTAGGAAGTACAAAAGACTGGTTATGGGACTGAGAGCTCGATCACCATCTCGAACCCACAATTTGTCAATCCAGAACAGCACTGAAGACTGTTATTTTCAGGAATGGGCAGGAGGATTTCAAGTTTGATGCCTGTCTGCGCTCCAGAGAGAAGGTTATATCTCAAACCAAACCAAACCACCATCAACCAAACAAAACAGGATAGCTAAGGATAGGACAGGGTATGATGTGTCACCTTGTCAGCTTGACTGGATTTAGAATAACCTAGGAGACATGTCTTTGAGGGCCTTTCCAGGGAGGTTTAGTTGAGGGAATCCCAACCCTGAATATGGGTGGCACCATCCAATGGCCTGGGGTCCCAGGCTGAATAAAAAAAGCTGGGGAGATAGTAAAGTGCTTCCAAGCATGAGGACACAAGTTTGGTCTCCAGAATCCATGGGAAAAAGCCAGGCATAGTAGCACAGTATGCAATCCCAGCATAGGGGTGTGGAGTCAGGAGGGTCCCTGGGGCTTGCTGGCCAACCAGCCAGTCTCACTCAATCAGGGAGCACCAGGCCAGTGAGAGACTTCAAAAACAAGTGGATGGCTCCTGAACACCCAAGGTTATCCTCTGGCACACACACAGAGAGAAAAGAGGAGAAAGTGAGCAGAGTACCGGTGTCCCTCTCCTTCTTCCCCGACTAGAGACGTGATGTGACTGGCCCCCTCACCCTCCTGTTCCCACGGCTAAAGCTGCCTTCCCCACCATGATGGACTGCACCCTCAAACTGAGGCCAAAGAAGCCATTCCTTCCTTAAGTAGCTTTTGAGAGGTATTTTGTCACAGCAACAAGAAAAGTAACGAATACACACGGTGCCATGACTCCTTGGCTCCACAAAGCCTCCTCTACAGGCTGCAAGTGCACACATAAAAGACCAGGTTTGCAGCTGTGGGGGGACTGCAATGCTGCCTGGATACTGGGAGAGATGTGCAGCAAATGCCAAGTGGTGGGCTGCAGCAACCAGATAGATAATTAATATGATTAGGAACACACAGAGCAAGCATGCTCTTGCCGAATGAAAAGCGTAGTAGCATAATTACTGTTTTCTTACTTGCTCACTGTCTGTGCACATTTCAAAGCCTGCTTGGTGTTAGACTGCTGTGTAAACATCAATAAAATCCCAAAGTGCCAGATCATCAGCATTCTTGGGCACAATGGCTTCTTTTTTGTGTTTTCGTTCTTTTAAAGATGCATTTCAGGGTTGCAAACATTAGTAAGAATGATCTCCAGGCCTCAGCCTAATCTCCGAGGGTGTAATGAGTTAACATCTCTCCCTAGTGAACATTTATTATGAAGGCTAATTAATTGCCTTCAAGAACCCTTTACATTCAAAGAAAGTAGGATCCATAAACAAAGAATATACTGTTTATTGAAACAAAGCAAGGAAAACAAAGAGCTTCTCCCTTCAAACTTCTTCCTATTGAACATAGTTTTAATCAAGAAATGAAACATATTAATGCAAAAAACATGTACAGATAAAGAAGCGTTCATTTGCCAACCAGAGTGCAGCATGAAGTGGAGTGAAAACTTAAGCAGTGCTTTGTAGTTGCCTGGGTGTCCCTAGGGGACAGCAAGTCAATGCTTATCAGCGGTCCTCAGAAGAGACAATTTTGATTAATATCAGATCCATCTGATTCACTCTATTAAATCTATTAGACCCTGAAGGAAGGATAGTCTTCAGATATTAAAGATAGGCCTTTGATTAACAATTCTACCCTTTTGCCATTCCAAGCATTAACAACCAGGTGGCACCTCTGGAAAGAGCAAGTCTTTGATTCAAGGAAGACGGACCTCTGAAACACCGAGGCTCTCCTCCACTCCCCAGGAGGAACTCGAGATATAAAAGTATTAGCACTGGAAAAGCAAAGTCCAAGTTACATAATGCACCTCATTTTCCAGAGTTAGGGTCAATTACTTGTGACATAATTCCTACTTGAAGATAACAGAATCTTAGTAAATCTGACAACAACTTGAAGTTGGAGGGAAGGACTTGGGCTATGCTACCTGAGAGCTGCCCCTGGTTCTGACGGTTTATATACAATCCTCTGAACACATCATCCTTTGCCTACCAACGGGTCCTAAGAGGCGCCCAGAAAGACTGCCAGGGGGCTGTCACATGGGGTGGGAAGAAAGCTATTCCACTTCTGCTCTTCACTTTCAAACTTGAGCCATCGGTGCTGCTGGCTCACATCATGGCATTCCTCTTGATGTTCATGATCAGCCTCCTGCTGTAGTCTCTGTAGTCCACCTTCTTCACGTCCACCACAGTGGCTTTAATTCGAGATTCATCCTGTGAAAAGAGAAAAGTTGTTTGCGGGTGATGGAGCCTGGCATGGAGCAGTGGTGATAACCTATTTACCTCAGTGGCTTCAATGAGCCCAGCAAGAGGAAAGGGTTTAGAAATTCTCACAAATAAAAGCACTGTGAGGAGGCGCCTACGGCAGAATTCCTGGAGCTGCCAACAGCATCCAGACCCCACTTCTGCAGACTTTTCCCCTCTGTCCAGCATGCAGCGCCCCACTAACTAGACTGAGGGTGTCTCTAGTCTCTTTATTGTCTTTGTAGGGGTATAATGGGAGCCCCGAGTAGATAAGCAAATTGCCAAAGCCACATAGCTAGCTCTAAAAGTTCATTTTCATCTCAAAAAAAAAAGAAAAAGAAAAAGCACCTGCAGAAGAGGGGACCTGTCTAGGTTCTGCCTCAGCTCTGGGTGAGGTCACTTCCCCCCGTACCTTCCCTATCCAGATCAGGGACAGAATGGACCTAAAATCCCCCATATCCACCCGACTCCCTGATACTGACACCTCATGTAACACAACAACCAAAATATCTATCCTGAGGTACTAAGGTCTGATGATAGTTCATGTGTGAACTCTGCAGTCGCACAGCTTTTGGCAGAATTCTCCCTCTTCTTGTTTCCAGACTGAACAGCATCTGTGAGGCAGAGCAGGGTGGTGCCCAGAGGCACACAGTCTAGCCAGGGTCTCACATACTTCCACATCCTCAGTAATTACTCATACACTGATATTTACAAGCACAGTTAGGAGCAAAGCTTGAAAGTCAGACTGCCTGGGTCGGAATCTTGGCTCTGCCACCTGCTAGCACACAACTTTAGGCTTAGAGGCCCATTTTCTGTACACACACATCTTTTCATTGGTAAACAAAGGCTTTTCACTGGGCAACAAGGGCTTCAGCATTGGCGGTACTGAAGGATCAGGTGAGATAACACACACAAGGTGCAGGACAGTGATAGCACTCAGTAAGCGCTGCTTATAATGACTATGAAACTCTATGATGTTATAGTTAAAGAATTTTAAAGGTAATTTCACTTTCCCATAGTGTTTGTTTAATATACTGATTTTTAGAACCTAAACTCATGGGAAGTTTGAGGTCATACACATCATTTTCTGCCAATACACAGACAACAAAAATGCTCAGGTTGTAATAGAAAAGGTCACAGAATCTCTTCTCCCTAGATGTTCAGACAAGACTCGGATCCTCTAAAGTAGCATTCACATCTGCACACAGGTTGGTAACAGCACCTCAGTGCAGGCAGATCCACGAGGAATGAATCAGTGTGCTGCACCAGGTCTCACACCTATGGGTAATCCTCTGACACTAATATTGAAGTGCTGCTGTGGGCAACAAAGAGCTATTTCCCGCCACTAACCCTTCTGCCCCAGGAAGCTTACTTACATTGTAGGTCTCCAGTTTGACCCTGATTCTGAACACAAAAGATCTAAAGTTGGCATTCTGGAAAACTTCTTCAAACGCCTGCTCATTCTGTAAAAATAACACATGGAAACTACTGGAAAGTACCTATAAGACTGTTGAAAAGACTGGAGAAAATTATTATCCCAGAGGGTTGAAATTACTTAGGAATGATTAATTTATAGGTACTGCTTTATCACGTCAAAACTGTTTAAGTAGAATTTTGTTGACAACTCAAACACTTTGCCAGGCGTGCTGGCACACGCCTTTAATCCCAGCACTCGGGAGGCAGAGGCAGGTGGATCTCTGTGAGTTCAAGGCCAGCCTGGTCTACATAGTGCGTTCCAGGACAGCTGGGGCTACAGGGAGACCCTGTCTCAAAAAGACCAAAAACAAAGAGAAAATTCAAACACTTTTTAATATCCTACCTAGTACTCAAGAGGCGGGGGCATGTGGATCAATGTAAGTTTGACCATAGTGAGACGCCCACCCCCCATATATATATAAAATTGTGCAAGAAAGCTGGGCATGGTGGTCTGTGCCTGTATCCCCAGTGCTCTGGAGGCTAAGGCAAGAGGATTGCAGTGAGCTACATAGTGAATTCTAGGCAAGTCTGGGATGCAGAATGAGACCCTGTCTCAAAAAACAAAAACAAAAACAAAACAAAGTACTCCAGCTAGGACTATATAGTGAGGCCCTTTCTCTAAAAGAAAAACAAAAAACCAAAACAAATAATGGCAAAGGCAAAGAAAACAAAAGAACTGGGTGGAAAAATACAAAAAGAAAAACGTTCAAGCTGTTATATACTTAATGATTTCAAATTTGTGTTTACAGTTACTGATAAGCAGCAAGCAGACAGGGCAAATGGGCAAAGGTCAGGAAAAGGCCATGAAACAGCCTTCCTTTCTCTTAAATACTATTTGATTTGGCTCCTTTATTAAAAAATAATTACAACAACAACAAAAAGATGGGGTTGGAGAGATAGCGCAGCAGTTAAGAACACTGACTGTTCTTGCAGAAGACCCGGGTTTGAATCCCAGCACCCACATGGCAGCTAACAACCGTCTGTAACTCCAGTTCCAGGGGATCCGACAGCCTCTTCTGACCTCCTCGAGCATGGCATGACATGGGTGCACTAACCTACATGCAGGCAATACACTCATACACATCAAATAAAAATAATAAATAAAATATTTTTTAAAAAAAGGCTGCTCCCTTTTTTTGGGCAGGGGGTGGTACTGGAGATTGAGCCTAGGACCTCATGTATGCTAGGCAAACTACCAGAGCTATATCCCCAATCCTCTTAATTCCATTTTTACATTTTGAGACAGCACTTGCTAAGTTGCCAAGTTGGCCATGAACTCGCCATTTTCCCACTTCAGCTTCCTGAACACTGGGATTACAGCCTCAGCCATAACTCCCTCAACCAGAGAATGTACTCTGCATAAAGCATGTAAACCTAAAGCTTATATAAAACTAATAGTTCAACAAAAGAAACAAACAAACAGACAAAAAACAAATAAAAAACCTAATAGTTCATATATGCGAAGTACTCCTACAAGTCACATGGATATGAAAATGGCTTTATCACACAGTCATCCTTCTGTAAATGTTACTTAAGAAAAAAGCTATTCCCTGGACTTTAAACATGTAAATAAAATAATGTATTAAATCTTCAGAAAATTATACTAGCTGCCACTGCTCTTTGGCATCGGGGAAAGCATGGCTGCACACCCAAGAACATTACGGTTCCTGAGGGAAGTCTCCTCTACGTCCTCGTTCTCTAATAGCAAGAACAGTCAGATGCAATACGCTCATAAAGAATCCTGAAAGGCTGCCTAGAGCTTAAAATCTGATATGAAAATAGAGGACCAGGCAAAACAGATAAAAGATACTATTGCACTTTAAAGTCAATTCCAGTTATTTCTGTAAAAGGACTTCTTGGGACTATTTTCAGAGATCTCATGGATGATTTAAAAAAGAAGTGAGGACAGAACCAAATAGAACTGAGGACAGAAAGGATAAGGAAAACGTACCAAAACAAATGGCACATTCTTTTTTCTTTGTGTCCTTTACAAGCATTCCAACCAATATGGGGGAAATGGAGGGGAAAAAAGAACACTATATATAGACAGATGCCAATGCTCATGGCCTAGAAAATATAGCTTTTACTGCTCCTCTCTGTATATTTTAACTCAGCTAGTATCTTCCTTATGTTTAGCATAATCTTTTTTTTTTTTTTTGGTCTTTTTGAGACAGGGTCTCCCTGTAGCCCGAGCTGTCCTGGAACTATGTAGACCAGGCTGCTTTGAACTCACAGAGATCTGCCTTGTCTCTGCCTCGCGAGTGCTGGGACTAAGGTATGCCCCACCACACCTGGCTGTTTTTTTTTTAGCACAATTTATCTACTTTCTGCATTAAATAAAACCAGCATGCAGAAATGTAAATTTGTAAAAAGACGGGTAAAGTTATCTTTATTTTTTTTGTCTTTTTGAGACAGGGTCTCCCTGTAGCCCAGCTGGCCTAGAATTCACTATGTAGACCAGGCTGGCCTTGATCTCACAGAGATCCCCCTCGTCTGCCTCCCAAGTGCTGGAATTAAAGGCATGTACCACTGTGCCCAGCACATTTAAGGCTTTTTAGTGTGCCTTGATTCATTATTTCATGTTAAATGCATCCAAAATGAATAAAGTTGAACAAAAGCTAAGCGCTTAATCAGCAGTGAGAAATTATACACAACACTCAAAGAAACAAACCAAAAAATATTAAACAACTCAATGGTATGACATGTGATCCACTACAGCTCTAACAGAATGAACATGTGGCTGACCTTCTCTTTCAGTTCCCCAAGGTAAGCAGCGTTCTGTCCAAGGATAGCTTCTGCAGACTCCTGGAAACAAGTCACCCACTGATTCTCTTGAAAATCTGCTATATTTACCTAAAAAACACAACTTGCTATTATTTCAGCAAAGAAATAAAAAGAAGGCACACTCATTAAAATTCCAAGGGAAAAAGACATTACCTATATACATACAGCCCCCAATTTGATTTGAATGAACGACTTCCCCTTAATCACCAAAACAAGACCTTCTTTTACTTTTACTTTTTTACATCCTGTTTTTCACTTTTAAAAATTTATTTTATTTTTATTTTTTATGTGTATAAGTGTATTGCCTACATGTATGTAAGTGCACTGGTGTCATGCAATGCCGGAGGAGGTCAGAAGGTGTTGGATCCCCTGGTACTAGAGTTATGGATGGTTGTTAGCTGCTATGTGGGTGCTGGGAATCGAACCCAGGTCCTCTGTTAAAAGCAGTCAGTGCTCTTAACTGCTAAGCCATCTCTCCAGCCCCCCCTTTTTTTTTTCACTTTTAGCATAGTATCCAATAAATTACACGAGATATCCAAACTTCATTGTAAAATAGGCTTTGTGTTAGATGATTTAGATCAAGTGTACGCAATGTAAAAGTTCTAGGTACATTTAAGGTAGGCTAGGCTAAGCTAGGATGTCTTTAGCAGGGTAAGCTTAATAAATTTTCAACTCAGAGTATTTCAACACATAATGGGTTTATGGGAGGGGCAACTCCATTGTTGAGCTCTAGGTATTCTATATTAATGGTCTTTCTAAAAACTGTGATAGATATCATGGAAGGAAGTTTAAAATATAGGCTAGCTCACAATATGCTGGCAATGTGATTTCAGATCTCAGTGGAGACAGGATCCAAATGAAGTCTCACAGATGCAGAAACATGCAGTCAGACTGATCTCCCTTCCAAATTCAACAAGTTTTACACTGAAGGCTTTGAATGATCTGCTAACAAGAGTAGGTTCTCTAAATTTTATCTTTTATTTTTCCCCCAGAGCTGAGGACCAAAACCAGGGCCTTGCGCTTCCTAGGCAAGCGCTCTACCACTGAGCTAAATCCCCAACCCCTCTACATTTCAATTATTTATTTTCATTTTTTAATTCTTTGAGACAGGGTATAATGTAACCCAGGCTGTCCCAAAACTTGCTGTGCAGCTGAGGCTGGCCATGAATAACTCATTTCTCCCTCCCAAATGCCAAGATTACAGGCATATGCCACCATGCCCTACTTTTTTGGAAAAAAGCTTACTATGTAGCCAAGGCAGGCCTCAACTATGAGTCCAAACAGGCCCAACTTGCAATCCTCTTGCCTCAGACTCCCAAGGGCTGAGTTCCCAGGCATGTGCCACTATGCCAAGCACCTTTTATTCACTCTGTGTGTGTGTGTGTGTACTGCATATGTGTGCATGTATGTGTGCATGCCTATGAAGGTCAGAGACTGATGTTGGATCGGTCTCTATCGGTCTCTCTCTCTCTCTCTCTCTCTCTCTCTCTCTCTCTCTCTCTCTCTCGACATGGTTTTTCACCCAGAGGTCTCTGATTGGCTGACCAACGAGGTCCAGGAATCCACCTGTCTCCACCTTTCCCTGGCTAAAGTTACTGAAGTATGCAAACATGTCTAGCTTTTACCTGGGGATCTGAACTCAGTTCCTCAAGCTTGGACAGTAGGCATTTAACTCACTGAGCCATCTCCCAAGTCCCACCATCTGCATTTTAAATTATACATTTCTAAACTGGCTATGGTGGTACATGCCTTTAATCCCAGCAGAGGCAGGCGGATCTCTGTGAGTTCAAGGCCAACCTGGTCTACATAGTGAGTTCTAGGTCCGCTGGGGCTACAGGGAGACCCTGTCTCAAAAAAAGACCAAAAAAAAACAAACCATACATGTCTAGTCAGTACAAAGAGCTGTATGACATAGCTCTAGATCATTACTGAGCAACACAGCTAACTTCAGAGCCAGGGTTGAAGGCCTTTATGTAGCCACCAAATCCACAGTAGCAGAAATGAGCAATGAGGTATCTCCCATTGGATGTATAGGGTAAAATTAAATTGGGAGGAGGCTAGCCACCCAGAGAGCCCCAGGAATCTGCCTGTCTCTGCCTCCCCATGTTGGGACTGACTAATTATAAGTGAGCACCACCATGCTTGGCTTTTTGACATGGGTCCTCCTGCTTGCACACCAACCACTTTACCTATGGCTATCTTCCTCCCCCAACTGAATTCTTTTTTTATTTTTTGAGGCAGGGTCTCAATGAAACCTACATTGGCAGACTGGCCTTGAACTTTTGATCCTCCTGCCTCTACCTCCCAAGTACTGGGATTACAGACATGTGCTATATCCCAGCCTAAGCAGTCGTAAATTCCAAGGCCTTCATAGTAGTCCACTCCATGGCTACTTACTAAAGAAATAACTGACACAACATAGTAACTAAGAATATTTAAGTTGAATCCAATTTTTCAAAGTAGTGTAGCAGACAACCATACACAGTTGTAACATCTCTGATTATTTCCTTAGAACAAATTAGAATTTCCTTAGAAAAACCTCCCTGTAGGTGGTTACCATGTCAGAAAATAGAAACATTTTTACAGTATCTTACATATTACTGTAAAATCAGCAAAGAGGAGAGTACACATGTTCCTGTACCTGTTCATTTGTTACTATTATTTAAAAGCACACCTTTCATTTCACACCTTTTAAAACAGAAAGAAACAATTTTAGCTTGGTGTGGTAGCTTATACCCATAACCTCAGCACTTGGGAGTCTGAAGCAGGAGGATTTCTGCAAGTTCAAGGCCAGCCTGGGCTAAAATGTGAGACCCTGCCTCAACCCTGGCCCCTCCAAACAAACAAAAAAATCCCCACAGCATCAAACCCAGTCCAAAGCAGAACAAAACATCAACAATCACACACCAGTGTGCATTCCTCTGAAGTCAGCTCTACTAAGGTTGGAGGAACAGATTATCCACAAAAATATTTCTACATATAGGCACCAGCTATTTGAGAACAATTACTGTTCTCCAGAAATGTCATTCAAATTAATTTATCTTCATAGCAGTTTGTAAGCAAATGCTACTAAAACCATAAGTGTATACAGCACAGACAGAAGACTGAAATACCCTAGTGCATCTCAATGCAACATTTAGGTCTGAAAAAGCTTTCTGTAGCAGAAGAGTAACTGCTACTCACACGAGTGAACGGCCTTACTTCCTTATTTACAGCACTTACTCATCTGTGAGTCCCTCACCGCCAACCATCCTGGTACTGCTGGCCCCCAGTGTCTGGCCCACACAGGTTCCCATCTACCCATTCCACTTACTGACAAGATCATGCGGTATTTGAAATTGGGAAATTCCCGGTCACACTTCTCACAACGGTATAACCCATTCTGCTGGTCAATCACTTTCTTATTGCAGTCTTGAGTTGGGCAGGCCTGGTACATACAGTTCTCTTTGCGAAGAAACACCACTGTTGCCACGGTGCTGAAATAGTCAGCCTGCAGGAGAAGTGGATGAGGGTGAGACCCACAACATCAGCTACTGAATAGGGGCAGCTCAGAGCCGCCCTTCCATACACATGGTAAGTGCAAGTGTGTTCTGTTTCTTGCTTTGCAAAGTGATTATGGAGAATCGTTCTTTCTTTTTCTTTTTTTTGTCTTTTTGAGACAGGGTCTCTCTGTAGCCCCAGCTCTCCTGGAACTCACTCTGTAGACCAGGCTGGCCCTGAACTCACAGATGATCCGCCTGCCTCTGCCTCCGAGTGCTGGGATTAAAGGCGTGCACCACCACACCTGGCTGGAGAATCATTATTCTTTAATTTAGTTTTTAATTCTTAAATTTCTTTATTTTTATTTTATGAGTGTTTCACTTGCACGCATGTAAACGTACCGTGTGTATACAGTGCTCATGGAGGCCAGAAGGGGATGTCAGATCTCCTGAAACTGGAGTTAATGGACAGTTGTGAGCTGCTCTGTGGGTGCTGGGAACTGAACTTGGGTCCTCTGCAAGAGCAGCCAGTGCTCTTAACCACTGAGCATCTCTCCAGCTCCTTGTTCTATAGTTTACAAATTACTTGTGCTATATACAAACTCATTAAGGTAACAAATAAATACTCAAGCACATAATTATTCTTTTTTGGATTTAGCCTACATGTATGTAAGTGCACCGATGTTGTGCAATGCCCTCGGGAGGACAGAAGAGGGTGACAGATCTCCTAGAACAGTTACAGACGGTTGTTAGCTGCCATGTGGGTGCTGGGATTCAAACCCAGGTCCTCTTGAAGAACAGCCATTGCTCTGTTTTCCTTTTTGCTTGAAGACTACATGAAAGACAAAGACTTGGTCGCCCTGGCTCTCTGACCCTCCACAGGGCATACATCTAGGAAATGTAGGATAACGGGTACTACAAAAATCTATAATGAGCCATTCCTCTCACAATAAAAACAAGGGTAATGATTTCTGGGGGGGACCTGCCTCTTTGTCTTAGGAATAAGCTTTTTGTCTAAAAAGCCAGAGTGAAAACTTTAGGCCCAATGAGTCAGTCAGTCTCTGCTGCCACTCCTCAACCCTACTGTTGTGGGGCAAGAGACACACAGACAATATGAAGATGGAAGTTGGTTATGTTCCAATAAAACTGTATTGACAGGGGCTGGAGAGGTGGCTCAGCAGTTAAGAGCACTGACTGCTCTTGCAGAGGACCCAGGTTCGATTCCCAACACCCACATGGTGACTACGAACTGTCCTTAACTCCAGTTCCAGGGGAATCTGAAGCCCTCTTCTGACCTCCGTGGCATTGCTTGACACAGGTGCACTCACATGCATGCAGGCAATACACTCATACGCATAAAATAAAAATAACAAATAAAAATAAAATATTAAAAACCTTCCTATCAAAATACAAGATTCCTTATTAACAACAAAAGGAGATCAAGTTCAACAAATCAAGCCAGGAGATAAAGACTCTGGCAGAAGCATACCTAACACATAACACTCTCTTGTCCCACACCTTCTGCACTGGCAAGCTCTGGTTTTCTTCCATTTGGATCTGGTCATTAAGCCTGTAATGGCTCCATTCTTTCTTAGTCAATGTGACATAAGGGATATTTTATTAGCAGACTGATGGTGAAGTTTGTCTGTTCTTCAACAGAGATGCAGATAGAAGTGGTCCATTTTTCTTGTACCAGATGTTACATTATGGTACACAGTATGTATGGAACTACAGCTGTGATTGGGGCCCCAGGAGTGGAATAAGTTCCCAAGTAACATGCAATAAAAAGACAAAGAACTCATCTTAATGATGGCACTGTCATCAGTGGCTAAATAAATCAGCCCTATATTGACAGAGCTGATGTGGTGGTACACACCTTCAGAGGCAGGTAGATCTCTGTGAGTTCGAGTCCAGCCTAGTCTACATAGTAAGTTCCAGGCCAGCTGGGGCTAAAAGGAGACCCTGTCTCAAAAAAAGACCTAAATAAATAAATTAATTAATAAATAAATACACAGGTTAGTACACAGTCTAGAAGGCTTCAGTGCAGGGTGTGTAGCTCAGTGGTAGAGTTTGCCTAGCTTGTGTACAAGGTGCTGGCTTTAATCCTCAGCTCCAGAGAATTAAACAAACAAGAAAGTTCAGGCTTCCATGATGGCTCAGTGGGGAAAGATGTTTGCCACCAAGCCTGATGACTTGAGTTTGATCCCTGGGACCCACATGGTGGGTGGAGAGAACTGACTGACCTCTTCCATACATGCACCATAGCACATGCACAACACCCACCCCCAATAATAAATAAATAACTTAAAAAAATTTTTAAACAGAAATAACAAATCTCTTAGGAAAATGTCTAAGGAGTTTTTCTGTATTTCTAGGTTAGATACAGATTCAAAGCTTGATTTAGAAGTCTGGGTGCAGACAGGTATTGTGTACGCTCAATTTTGATTGTATACTGTCTATATTAGGATTAAGAGAACAACTGGGTGGCAAGAGAACCAGAATCTATCCAATGTTTAATTCCCAAGATGTTACATAATAGCACTGTAAGTTGCTGTGGATGACGATGATGGATGGGACGCACAAAGAAAGGAGACAGTAAGGAAGAAAACCTATATTGTATATGATGACAATAAAGGATCAGCGACTGATGTTTAGGGAGCACAACAGAGAAATGAACGATTTAAATTCAAGTGCTGACAGAATGCAGGTTACATGAAGATGGTAATAGGGTCATGGAGTACATACTGAAAGGGAAGCTGCAACTAGGGTCAAATCCCAGATCCAGGCCTTGGCAGGACGGCAATAGCTCAGCCTGTTCAGCCTGTGACACAGGCTAAACACACTGGAGCTGCCCTATGCCTGAGAGCCTGAATTATACTCTGCTCAAAACCAACATGGACCCGAGGTCAGTTCACATTACACTGCAAAGCCTGATCATTACCACTTCCTTGATAGCCAAGAGCTCTTCACATTTTTCTGTTTTAACACATCAGAGGCTTACACCATACTCCTGTCAGCCTCTTCACTGGCAGGGATTCTTTTTTTTTTTCTCACATTATTTATTTGTTATGAATTTCAATCATATTTAGATCCCCTCCCATATCAATACCCCCC